CTCCGATGGAGACATGGAAACGCTGCTGCTTTGCAGCTGCGTTACCCTGCTTCCTCGGGCTTGGACCCCTAATAACTTGATTTAGAAGGTTAAAAACGTACAGAAACACAGGTGATAAATGATTGGAAGTATTAGATATACAAACATTTAATGAGAATAAACTAAAAAGGAACTGTCATTACCCAGGGTAAAATCATCCTCAAATTTGGTTCAGTCGTGTGATCATAGGCACGTGACTCATTCAGCCAACCACCTTGTGTGGAGTGTTAATAAGGCCTGCTCCAGCTTTCCTCAATCAGGTGTGAGGGGAGAGCTGGAGACAAAGCTGCTACATGTATTTGCTTCCACACAACTTTTTGTTGATTCAATGTTGTTGTTTTCTTTATGCACTTTAAGTCTCCCTATATAAATATTATTTGGATCGTAAACCACCAGTGAGCCTGGAGCCATGAAGTTGTCATACATTGAACTGTGAATGGAATTGGTGAGTTGTGAATGAAATGATTGTTTGTTTGGTTTTGACATRTTTGTTTGCAGCAAATGCTAATTGGCTGATTGGTAGTTGCAGTTAATGCTAACATGGTTCAACTTCAATCATTTTACTCCTACCTTGTACTTTGATCTTAACTTAATGGGGTAAATGCCTCCATGTTTAGTTTATGCTGTGTAGTATTCCTATGTGGCATTCAAACATAATTTGAGAACAATGTTTTTGAACTGGTGCTGAAATTGTTCGTGTATCTAAAAAAATGTGCAAATAATACACATTTGTAGATATAACTGCATGAATTTATCAGATTATTTTGCTGTGTGCACAAGAATCATTGTTAAAGATCTAATTAGGTTGCTTATTAGCTGTATGAAATCTTACTAGTCCTGTTTATCTAATGCAGGCCAGGTGACCCTTTTTGGGTTAAAAGGGTGGTGAGCTACTGGGAACCAGGAGGACCTGAAAATCCCAAATGATGCTGGTTCAAACAGCTGCATTTGTATCCATTTCACATGACTGCTCCTCTGGGATCACCCGGGTACAACCAAAGTCTTCATCGACTTCAGCCATTTCCATCAAATTTGAGGTCTGTGTTTTCCACCTCCGACTGAAAGGTTCCACAAAAGTCAAGTCAGACGTAGCATCATTGTCATCTGAAAGACTGATGGGGAAAGTCCAAACAGTTTTCCTCCCYATGTCCTCCTTCGTTTAGGCATCCTTTGAACAGAAACCAGCTTTGAACTGGTGACAAGCAGTTAAGGTTTCTGATCTTGTCGTCTTGTTCTCTCTGGAGTTTGGTTACGATACTGTTTTGAGCAAAGCYACATCTGCCACCTCAGTAATGTGTGGGTCGCTCTTCACTTTCTTTGCCGTGCTGGCAACTGTAAAGTGCTGAGGGTCTTCCTCAGTGCATAAGGAGTAATGTTGCAGATGACAGTTTTAGCATTTCCACCAAGATGCGAGTCAACTTGCTGTGTCTGTAGTWAATGAAACCCTTCTGGTTTTCGTCCGTTAGCTTCTTGACCACCTGACCAAGTGTGAAAAGACTGCAACTTTCTTTGAAGCGTGCACCCTCAGCTCCTGTTTGACTTGCTCTCTCAGACCCAGCAAGATCCACTAAATTTAAATGAKACAAGAGGATGGCTTCATCAGTCTTGTCACTCGATGCTGGATCACTTTCCCAACTTTCTAAGATCATAAAAAATATGGCATGTGAGTGACTGCTTCGTAGATTCATTTTTGTCTTTGCATACTGAYGATTTTCTACTTGTGAAGTAAATTTAACCACCTCTGTCAGATCAGCCACACAGTTGTTTTTATTGTTTCTCTAACTTCCAAAGGTTTTCTATTTCTGCTGTCAACAAGCATGTCGGTCACAGTTGCTGATTTCCATATAAGACACTCTAAGAAGGAACTCCTTATTTGAAACAGATTTAATAGTTTTAAAGACATCTTCCACTGCCAAAGGAATGACTCCAAGGTTATGGTCATCATAGTGAAAGTCTTTCCAGAGGAAGTCTGTCTGTAGGCAAACACAGTTCCGTTGGTGGAAAYAACCAGAGGGTTTACAAAAGCCTGATAAACCCGAGTGGTTTCTTCAGCTATGAACACCCGGTCAACTGTATTTTTATTATATATTATATTTATTTATTTATAATGTTCTGCTGCCTTTCATTTAATTTGATTTGTATTCTTGTATGTTGAATTTTTGTTGTTGTTGTTAAAAGAAATGAATAAATAAAATAAAATGATTCCAACCAATCGGAAGACTTTAAGATCTTTTAGATCTTTTTAGATTACTATAATATTGAATATAATTGAATATACTTAGATTACATTACGCTGAAATTTGACTGCAGTGTTGTAAATTTATATTATGGGTTGTGTTTTGTATGTTTTATTTTTTTTGTGTTCACTTAAATTGTTTCCAAATACATGGTACTGCAACTAGGCTTCCTTTTGTGGTGGTTTTTATTACTGGCATCAGCTCCTGTAGTCGTTTTCTAGTCTTCTGAGTTTATCTCATATCTAACTTTTTAGTAACGCAATTAGTGCTACATTACGGAATGCGACTGTTTTAGTTTACCTCAGTGGTTCTTTGAGTTTATTAGTTTTTACATATTGTTTTCTGTGATCTGTTATAAGTTCAGTCACTTTTCCCTTTTTGTGTTTCTGCAGTTTTTATGTAAAGCTTTGTTTGTGTTAATTTCCCTGTGTCATTTCTGATCTCTACCTTCCATCAGCTTCCTCTGTTGTTCTCAGTCGGCCAGCTACCCTCACCTGTTTCCAGTCTCCAAATAGGTCAGCTGGTCCCAGTACTGCTCCATATAATCGGTTTCTTGCCACCATCGCCTCAGCAGACCAGTCTCGGTCCTCCTAATGTTTCCCTGAGCTCTCCTGTTTTTTGTTTTTGTTTTGTTTTTCTTGCCACCATGTCTGCTCTGTGTGTGTGT